AAAAATATCTGCATGAAACAGCAAAGCTGAATGAGATGCAGATTCACTCTCTGCCAGCAGGTGGCGCTTAAACCGTTTCATGGTTTCCGCTGTAAACAAAGCAGCGCTGAACTTACGAACTTTAATATGCATTATACAGAGGCAAGATGAAAAGAAAAAATACCATCTAAACTTTTCTAAAGACAGTAAGTTCCCCTCAGACATGCATTAATATAAACTCCTACACCTAAATGAATCGCGATTTGTTTAGCATCTCAACCGATTTGAATCGTAACATATTTGAATCGATTTTCAGCCGGCTCGCAGTTAATCGTTACATCCCTACTCAAATTACATCTGAATTTAGTCATGTTTACTGAACATAAAATATTTAATGATATTGAAATATTTAGATAAAATCATGGTCCAACGGACGTCTTTTTTTTTTTAAGGAATGTGTGAGTAGTTGACATCATTATTTTGTACTTTCAACAGTGTATGTTATGTTTAAAACTCATTTTTCATTTTATGCACATGCCATGAGGATGAATTTGACTGTCAGCCTCCTGTGAAAGTGTCACCACCATGATGCTAAGGTGTTAAAAGAGCAGATACTCCGATCTCTACATATGGCTCGGGTACCACTTTATTTTATTATTTTTTTTCATGTGTTGTCAAATTTTACAGTGTTAAAAATTGAAAATATAAATGCATACTCTCAAAATGTAAACAGATTTTCCCACATGTGCCCAGATGGTATACTTAAGTGATTTACAGAGAAAGACTTTAAAAGACCTTCAAGTCCAGCTTGTTTAATTCAAGTAATATTTTATGCTGATATGCATTTCAAATTTGCTCATAGGTAGCACCATGTAAATAGAAAGCACCAGATTTGTTAACAGTAGTGCCATCCAGAATACAAACAAAAAAAGTGCATTATATCACTTCCGAAGGATAAAGTGCATTATTTCACATTTCATTATTCAATATTTTGACAAAAACGTCCCCAAAGAAAGTTTTCAAGAAACAAAAATTGTACACCTTTTTGAAGAGCTCTCACAAAGCTTTACTTTAAGAATTTGTACCATGGTATTCTGTTTCTCATTTCTAAAATGGGTTGTCTGTCCTAATATGGCAGACAGCAGGAAAATTAGTGCCAAGTACAACTAGTGTACAGTGCAACTAACCATATGATTGTGCGTGCATAAAATAGTAAAATATTAGATTATCAACCTTTAAAAGCTAACAGACTCCTTCCCTATCTTTTGTTGTTGACATCCAAGGTTGTGTGCAATTAACATCTGTAGTGTAAATAGTAGTAGTAAATAGTGCAAATTCATGCCACTTGGTAGCTATATGATGTATTTCAAAGAAAGTACAATGGCATTAACAACTGATATCACCACTTTACCATAGTACCCTCACACTTTGGGTTTTACAATAATGACCCTGCAGTTCTTTAAATCTCATGATGACGTATCAGTCTGGAAGTTTATTCACCGGGACAGTGATATCCCTTTAACCATGTTAAATCCTCCAGCATGCCCCAGTGTAAGTACATAATGGACAGGATGACCATGATGTGCATAATCTGGTGACTATTAAACCAGTAGTCAAACCGCCCAGGGCTGACGCGCTCTGGCAGGCGGAAAATATTGACTAGTCCTCCTAGCAACGCAAGAGTATCCATGGTGAGGTAGAGGCGAAGGGAAGCGGGGCTTCCTCTGCCTGCCCCAGTCAGACGCAAAATTAAGAGAATGAAGCGGAACATCACCTGCCAAGCGAAAGATTGCAGGCGGTGCACGTTACTCTGCAGTGACAGCGCAGTGAACACCGCAGCCAGAGAGGAGGAGATATGCCAACATCGCCACACGGCGGGAGGATGGGTAACACAACAAAGTTATGTGAATGATTGGCAGAGCACCTGCAAAAAGAAAAGTACATGGAAATCATTGAACCCTGGTCCTTGAAAGAAGCAAAAATCAGTGTCCCCTGTTGGAAGAAAAAAGAAACCCCGGCTAAAACCAGCCTAAATTGGTTGGCTGGTCTTAGCTGGTTTCCCAGCCTGGCTGAGCTGGTCAAGCTGGTTTTAGTTGATTGGTCAGCTAGTCTCCCAACCAGAAGTGGTCAAAAGCCCTCTAAAACCAGCCTGCAAACCAGCTTTGAGCAGGCTGGAAGACCAGCTAAAACCAACCAACCAGCTTAGGCTGGTTTAGCTTTTTTCTTTTTTTTCTTTGTTTTTTTCACCCAGCAGGGTTGATGCCACAAGAATGCAATTGTGACCGAAGGTGATTCTCCCTCAGAATGTGATTTCGAGGCCCCCTCTTGAAATACAAATGCTAACTTTGTATATTCATGCAATACCATGAATGAGAAAATGTATTTAAAATCTACAGTGTACTGTAAAAGTCCATCATATGTTTCATCCCTACTTGTGGCATATATTAATTTTCTTAACATTTAGGTTATATGTAATCTGAAGTCATGTTAAAAGTCAGCATGAAATGAAAAAGCTAACTATTTTCTAAATGCATGTTATAAACATGCAAGTGTTTATATTGTGAGTACTGTATCATGAACAAATGTTTACTTTTTTTTAATATATGACCATCATATACTGGTGAAAACAGGCTTCTTCTCTGGTGACGTGCAATACTTTTTTGATAATGCGCTACACTTGTATATACATGTCACAATATAGAAGAAAATATCTTCAAAATTGTAGTTGATTCATATTTAACTGATTCATATTCATAACTGTCCAGGGAGTTTCCCTACCTTCAGCCAGAGATGCTGGGATAGGCTTCAGCATCCCTGCGACCCTACATAGGACAAGCTGTTTGGAAAATATATAAATGATGGATAGATATTTACGTAGCTGTATTGCATGAATATATCTGTGTAAGAAACCATATTTTTTAATGGCTCATCAATGTAGTGTATATTAAAGTAATCTCTGTCCTAGTCCTAAATTTCGTATCTTACCTAGAGTGTTGACGAGACAGACACCAAACATGTCGAAGCACAGCAGTGTGTCATAAATAGATGCTCCACCCTCATATTTCATGAAGAGATGATAGAAGACTGAAAAAACAGTGGGAGACAGACAAGCCAAATAATGCACCACTCCTATCCACCACTCATCAACTTCAGCCCATGGGATACTCAAAGGCAAAAACAGCAAAAAGCAGATGAAGGGAATACCTGATGGACAAAACACAGAGAAGAGAATGTGCTACAATATGAGACTGGTTTGATATGAGTGAAATTCATTATTGTGGTAAGAGTTGATACAACGAGCAAGCCAAATGTGTTCACCAACATTCTTAATACTAGTGTTTTCAACCAAACATCCCCTGTAAATGGGAGAAGTACTGATTACGGAATAGTACACATTTCTTGATAATATTCCAGTAATATCCTGTGCTACTGCAATAGGATTCCACAATTTGCAAACGTTTGTGAAATTTGATCCCTGCTAGATATTCCACGGTCAAGTCCAGAGTGGGGTGACCGGGTGCTGAGGAGCATGGCGCATAAAAAGTTTCTAATGCAATAACTGAAGAGTTCCAAACTTCCACTGGCATTAATATCAGAAAAGAAAAAAGGTGGGAGCTTCATGGAATGGATTTCCATAACTGAGCAACTACATGCAGGCCTTGTATCAACAAGTAGCCTACAATGCCAACCGTTGAAAGAAGTAGACTTTGAAGCAGAGGAAACGTGTTCTGTGGTTTATGACTCATGCTTTTCTGTTTGCCAGTTTGATGGGCAACTCTGGGTTTGGTGGATTCTAGGAGAATGTTACCTGCCTGACTGCATTGTGCTAACTGTAAAGTTTGGTGGAGAAGGGAAAATTGTATGGGGCTGTTTTTCAGGGGTTGGTCTAGGCCTCTTACTTCCAGTGAAGGGAAATCTTAATGCTTCAGCATACCAAGATATATTGCACAATGTCATGCTTCTGGGAACCGTTTGGGGAAAGCCCTTTTCTATTTCAGCATGACTGCACCTCAGTGCACAAAGCAAGGTCTAAAAAGACATGGATGAGTTTGCGGTGGAAAAACTTGACTGGTCCACACAGAGCCGTGACCTCAACCCCATCAACACCTTTGGGATGAACTGAAATGGAGATTGCAAGCTAGGCTTTCTCATCCAATATCAATGCCTGCCCTGACCTCACAAATGCATAAAACACAATCTCGAAATCTTGTGGAAAGCCTTCCCAAAAGAGTGTAAGATGTTATAAAATCCTTGTTGGTGTATGAGTCAGGAGTCCCAATACTTTTGACCATATAGTGAACTTGATACATCAGGCTTTTTTGGCTTATACAGTATGATATAGTAGAATATGGAGCTCAATAATTGAGAAATGTAGACTTAAACATTCCTCAACCTGATGTATCATATTTGACACATTTTAAAATGATTAAAAATTTATGGATAATCAGGGATATCTTAAGTTGCTTCAGTCCAGTAAGTGTTCATCTTGTAATATTACTAACAATATAAAAGTTATTTTTAAGTTTACTTTGTAAGGATTTCACAGCAAAAAGACACATGTACCACAACCTGAATGGAGACATTTTTCGAACTACACTAAAAAAAAAAGTATTTTACTTGCTAAAAACTATCAATCAGATAACAGAAGGCATGTCGTAGATTATGAAATTTGTGTATCAAATATGATACAGTAGGCTTCGGGGTTAACATGACTTTTTAACATTGAGACATGCCTAAAAAATTCCAAAGAAAATCTATTAAATTATTTTTTCAAAAACTTCCAAAATATTGGTCTCTAGAATATTTACTGCACTTTTACCAATCACAGCAATTACACAGCATCACTTCCAAGACAGCAATTCACTAACGAGGATTAGATGTAATCTCATGTAATGCTATTTTCGGACCCTTCTGAAGAGTGTCACTGGGTGAATAGTGGAGAAAGTAGCCCTAAATTACATTTTCAGAAGGTTCTCTTTAAGACAATCACTGGATTTCCTTGTTTCCCATTAGTGGAATAATGCATTCTAAATTAAATTTTTACATCCACATAATTCATTTACAACTCCCTTGCTTTACAGCAGATAGTATGTTAAACAAATTCCAGATGTTACAGTACAAATTATGGAGGATATTTTTCATACCATGTGTATAGATGTTCCCAAATTCATTGTGCAGATAGAACAAACTTCGCAGACAGTCTCTGTAAGTGGATATAGGCCGGTATCCTGTCAGGACATACTTGTTGAACTGAAGATGTGGCGGTGAATTCTTAAAATCCAGAAGTTTTGGCCCAGTAAAATAATCCATTGCAGAAAATGTAAAATATGCTCAGGTCTCCTTGACCACCTTCCTCACCTTCCCTTGGGAGGAAAGTCTGTAGTCTCTTCAAATGCTTTAAATCAAGCTATAAATACATAGTTTCTAAGAACGTTAGCAAAAGTTGTAACTTTCTGGCACCATATACCCAGTCTCAGAAATACTCACGTGTAGAACTGCAGCAACTTGTTGCTTGCAAAGAAGCTGTGGGCCAATTTACTGCTACTTAGTGTCTTAGCCAATCAGCAGGCAGCAGTCAGACTCCGCAGAGGTCAGCTCATGGAAGATTACAGTTCCTTAAGTACAAACGCTATAGCCTACTGGCAGACTTCAACACATGCTTTTTATTTCTTATTAAACTCTCGATATGATAAACCTAGTACATCTTTTGGTGCTATGAAGTCCAAGGAAATCTTCAAAGATTTAAACAAAGCTTAGATTTAGAGTTTATTTGTATTTATTCAAAACATACATAGCACTGCCACAGGAAATTAAAAAGAAATAAATAACAATGAGTTCTAGAAACAAAATAACACACATCTACATTGAAATGAAAATTACATAACACATAAAATACATTTTTGTATTCCAAAATTATGGACAAATATGGAATTTAAACGAACAATGAAAAGAAAGAAAGATGCATAAGCTATAATGATTTATAAACTAAAATGTCGTTATTTTTACAGCCAGCTATTTAATTTCAAGCAGGGTAACAAACATTAAAAAACAAAACTAGAGGTTAAGGAGAACAAAAGACTCAAATAAAACCATAGAAAATGTACAACATTCACAGAAACATTAAGTGTAAAGAGAAATCAAGTGAAGATCCAAATTTTTGCAATATGAACTTCCACTTCCAAATTATCCTAAGAAAAGAAACAGAGGTATGAGTTGGAAAAAGTGCCACATTGCTATTATTCATAAGATTAAATTTTTATTAATGTTAAATGTATATATGTATTATCCATACCTTGGTATTTATTTCCAAAGAAACCATTCAATTTGTATTTGCCTTCCTTTCCTGTTAAAAAGAACCAACTTTTAATGTACAAAGTTTGGAAATTATGCTAAATTTACATTTTTAGTTTTATTTTGATAGAAAGGCATTGCGCATTCAATTGTTGGAAAGCGTCAAGTAATGTGATAAATAATTGATATTCAAATAGTTGCATATTTATAATAATGTCAATAAGAAATTATTCTGAAAAATGAATATAGTTTGATAATCAAGCTGTTATCAATTGCAAATCAACACAATTTAGAATGTGTAATCCCAAGTTTGCATCTATTAGCATTATACCTGTCTGGGAGTTGCCCTGTGGGTGGAAGTGGAACTTGAGGTGCTGCTGGATGTGAATCTGTTGTGGTGGTGCTGGCTGCTGCTTTAGAGTGGGAGAGAATGTGGGTGAGAAAGGCACCTCAGAAACAGCAGACACATCAGGCACAGAGACAGGGGCCAGGGAGGAACCGTCCAGTGTGGTGTCAAATGAGGTGACAGCAGGGATGTGAGGAGCGGGGCCCACAGTGGGAACACCAGGGAAAGAGACAACTGCAGGGCAGTCAAGAAAGAAAATTGGTAGAATGATTGGATTTGACATCAATTTATTTGGAATAGAATAATATGGGGCAAGGGCTGGAAATGAATGGAAAATCAAGACAAGGGGGCAAAAAAATGAAGTCGGTGTGCCCAAACAAAACAAAGTCGGTAGATACTGAATGTATAACATTCATAGAAACATTTCTTTTACCTTCTGGTTGTACTCTTCCATTGGTATAATCACCCATTCCTTAAACAAAGAGGGTGAAATGTGAGAAATATTTATATGCATATTTATACACTGCATTCATGTAGATACATTTAGTGTCAACAAATGCTTGTACCGTATTTGTTTATGGATTGTGCATTCGCCTCTCCAGCTCCTGGAGTATCAGGATGGGGTGGAACTTCTCCATCTCCTGAATAAAAAACAGTGAAAAAATGTCCAGATATCGGATATGTATCTGATTTTAAACTACATTTGGATGTGGCTCAGAATGAAAATTCCTGGATCTCACATGGATTTTTGTGTTTGCATTTAATTTATATTTAATCATTTAGCAGATGCTTTTTTCCAAAGCGACTTACAAAAGAGGACAATAGAAGCATATTGTGTATGTTTACATATGTGCTTCTGTCAGATGCGAGTAAAAACTTACTTGAACGGAGATACACATATCTGAAAGAGCATAGACAAACATGACTAACCAAACTGGTCAATGGATTTCTGTCCATCAATCTCAGGACCTTGGTGCAAAACCTCCAGGCTTCTGTTTTCTGTTTAAATGAGAAAAAAAAAAGGATGAAATGGTTATAACTTTCATGAGTTCACAGTAAATTCAAATGACCAATCTTGTATTTTCTTCATTAAACAATAGACAATAATATAATTACAACACAGTATTCCAATAGTTCTTGCTTGATTAACAATTACTAAAAAGATTATGTATATACCTTCAACAGATTGGCCATCAGTCACAGGGCCGAGGAGCTCATATGACACTGCTGGATTACCTGAAGGCCATGTAAACAAAGTCAGAATATCACGCATTATATACTGTGTATTACAGTGATTTTACCATGGTCAGTACAAAACAATTATTAGCCTAACTGTATGCTGTTTGGGATGATTCACGTACAGAGGAATGATAAACAGGATCTTTAAACTAGTATGAGTGAATAAAGAAACAAGTGGCACCATATTTAGCTGATTTGGCATCGCCACTGAGACTGAGAGATTATATATTTATATTGTTGGCATTGTCGTGCAACTATCTGTACAAAAAAATCAGCTTTTACCATATTTCCCAGACATAGCATCAGGCCTGAGATCAAATGGCTGACCATCATAATGAAGACCCTTTTGTCCTGAGAGAGTATTACAGTAAAATATATTCACTTTTAGAATTTGTAAAAATAACATAATAAAATAATAATAATAAATAAAAAATAATCACCATATTTTCCAGACGACTTGTCACCACCATATCCAAGCGGCTGACCATTGTAGGGTAACCCTCCAAAGTCTGAAAATACAGAAACTCGTATTTTAAAATACCTTCAAAAACAGATGAGCTGTATGACTAGTCAAAATGCTTTTTTAACTCGCCATATTTACCGGATGATTTGGCAACAGATTCCGGTAGAAGAGGCTGAGAGTTGTACGGTAAACTACCATATCCTATTTTGGGGTCAGAGTACAGTGGTGTTAGATAAAGAAATAAACAATACGTATTAAACAGCATTTTAGATAATGTTTTAAGATGCAAGGGCTAGGCGTTCCATCACTTATTTATTTGAAGTTTAATATTATTTCACAACTACATACATTTTAGTGCAAATAAATAACAAAAAAATTGTAGGGAAATATCAAAGCATTTAATGAAATCTTTACCGTGTTTTCCCAGTGCTTGAGGATTGTAGGGTTTGGCTCCATAGCGCTGTCCTTCATTACCTATAGGAAAGATGCATAAATCAGTGTGTCCATTTAGGGCTGCTGCTATGTCCAACATTAACCCTAAATATTACAATATGAAGATGATAACATGCCATATTGTCCAGAGGGGTTGGTTTGATATCCTCTATGGGAACCAAATGGAAGTCCACCAATTCCTGACAAAATAAAACTGCAGTTATGAAAACTGAGCAAAGGACAATGTGTCGCAAATGGACACTATTTGATGAGTTCTTATGAAATTAGCACATAGGGTTGTTCTCAGACTAACCATATTTTGCTTGAGCTTTTCCCTTAGATCCGAATCCCATTGGCTGCCCACCTTGTGGTCCAGCTATCAGAATGTAAATGAATGAATGAATGAAAAAATAACAACTACAAACACATTCAATTAAACAGGTAAATAAAACAATACCATTTGATCAAAAAGTCATATGTCATTGACGTCTGTATGATTACTAATTTTTAGTATTTATTTACAAGCAAAACATGATAAAAGCATTAATATCCAAATTGTAAAAATGTGGAAAAAATAACACTGGTTTGAAGGATTTACTCCATTATTTATTTACTTGTAGGTAGCATGGATATGATATTGCACTAATAGGCTAAATCTCGGACTAGTGACACCCCGGCATATAAAGACATCAGATGAAATATCTATTAAATGTACATGTGAATTGTGTCTATGTCAACAACTGATATAAGAAATATCCATGAAGTAGGGTATTCCTACCTGGCTTATTGAATTTGTTTCCATATCCTTCATAACCTGTAGAGTAACGACAGAAGAAAAAAACAAATCACTTTTAGACAAGTAGCTTGATCTACAATTGTTTAAAAAAAAATAAATAAAGAAAGAAATTATAAAGCTGAAGCCAAATAATAAGTCAAGTAAATTACAATAAAATATGTTTTGAAATAATTTACCTGCTTTGTAGCCATTGTTAATGCCATGAGCTGGATAACCACCTGCTCCAAAGCATAGGGACAGAATTAAGACAATAATCTTATGCACAACATAAAGAAATCTAATATGTACTCCTTTTGTTTTGTTGTATAGGCGTAAACAGTTATA